CTGACGTCAACCACAAATTGATATGGTACTGATTTTATTAGAAGAAAAATCCCAGTGTTAGAGTGACTACGTAATTCATCAAATGAGTATGCAATTGGAATACCACAAAAAATTTAACTTACGTTACCTTACATTTTCAAATTCATTACCTTTTTTGATACGGTGTCATCAACATTCAGAAAGGACAGTTAAAAGAAATATGCGAAAACCTGATTAGGAAGATATTAAAAAAGTTTCGAACTTGCTTTTCAGGACAACTCTTATTTTTCACTTTCCGTCTCCTGTTTTAAAAATTCAACTACATACAAATTATCAGTTACATTAATACAATACTACACACAATACAAATTAAACACAAATCTAAAAACAACAAAGAAATAATAGCCTACATATCAAATTGTATGAAGGGGAATTCCTTAAGGATGGACTCTCTGAGTAGTCGGGCTAATCGAGGAGAGAGCACCTCTTGTTTTAAGATTGAATATGAGTTATCCCTAAACATATTTTAACTTATTTTGAGATCTTGGTCAATCTATCCTCTTTCCTTTCTTTTTAGACTAAAGATGCACCTAAATTTCTGCTTTTAAGATATGGTCTAACATAAAAGGATTTTTTATTAATGCACTCTTACGTTGTAGTTGATAACTGCACGAAAAATGCATTTTTGGTTTTCTTTATTTGATAAAGTTTATATATATTCTTAACAATATTCTCAATAATTGTTTATCTCTGATTAGAGGTATCTAGTTTGATTTTCGTAACGACAAATTGATTAATCGTTTGCAATTTTCATTGTCCTAAAGCTTTTGTCCTAACGGTGACAACACTTTTCAATCATTGCTTTTCAGATGAAACAACTTCAACATTTGATTCAGTGGCATACTCTACGTCTTTAGAAAATACGTCTTTACAAGAATATTGCAGATTGGTGAGTTATTCTTATAGCTTGAATTTTTGTTATAGCTCGAAGTTTTGAACTCATTTGAAAATACACCCACTGTTGATGACAGTAATGATTTTATTTCCATATAACATATATGATTTCCATTTTCAGATTAAGCGGTACAGAAATGTGCTGTTCATGACTGACGACACGATAGAGGCTAAGCATTTCATTTCCTGCTTCTCCCATTGGCTCAAGGTATGTTGTCTACAGTATCCTCCGTATGATATCGACCGGTAAGACAGCAGTTAATGTATGTTGCTTAGAAAGTCGTTTTCCCTGGACTTTACTTTACTTTCATTTTACATTAACTTTACTTTCAATGATGTAGAAGATTTTCTAAGTGCATATTATTCTTTGGGTTGTCTCATTATAACAAGTTGCATTAATTTGATTAATAATGAATTTTCTACTTTTCATGTCTGTTGTTTGTTCCCCTGTATAGAATAAAAAATTATTTTGTTTGGATATTTTCCATATGACTTGCTTAAAAATAAGCTCACCGTGATAGAAAATTTGTTTTCACCAAATTCACCAAACATAAAGAAAATTTGATTCCTATTCATTTCCCAAATCTGAAATTTTTAGCGGAAGTAATATTACATAGTATCATATTACATTACGATTCCTTTTGCGCAGTAAGATATGTATATTTTTGTATAATTGACTCTTGGATTATAAGAACACCTTGCTCAGTAAACCTAATCTCCGTGATATATCCCTTGCCATTAGGTAGCAGCGTCTTCACAAATACTCTAGTGTCTCTAATAGAAGGGCCCCCTTGTATTGACTTCAGAAGAATTTGCCCTCCCCCTGTCGCTTATTAGCACCCCCTTCTATCTAATTTTACAAATCTGTCATGACCGGGACACGCAATTTTCACTTGTTATGTTATGTAGTTATTTTTTTATTGTCATAATTCCCCCTGTTATGTTTGTCTATCTTTATCTGTAACCATTTATCCATTATCAAGTAACCAGTGTCACCATCCTACTAATTCCACTGACTTTTAATGAAAGATTTACCAACATCCACTCCTTCTATTAGCTCCCCTTTGCTATTGAAGTTTACTGACATTTTATTGAAAATTGGCCAACCTGAACACCCCTTTCTTTTAGCAACCCCTTCTATTGAAAACTGGCCGACATGAGCACCCCTTTCTATTAGCACCCCCTTCTATTGTAAACTGGTCGACATGAACACCCCCTTCTAATAGCACCCCCCTTCTGTTGAAATTTGGCCGCAATGAACACCACCCCTTCTATTAACTCCTTCCTTCTATTAGAGACACTAGAGTACGTTTGCAAAGTTCGCTTTCTCATCTAAATGGGAACGAAAGAAATGTTTTCCGTTTTCACGGAAGCGTCTAAGTGGAAGGGGTTTTCAAGCGTTTGTTACAGGATCATGTCATTTGAGATTTTCTCAGAATTCGATAAGAACTCTGCACGAAAGGGCATGTTCGGAAATTAAATTAATTTATAATGAGCTACATGCTTGATTATATGCGCACAATTAGCTGAGAATTCCATTTTACTATGAGCTGTATTTTTATACGTATATCTAGTATTGCATGTAACTTGCAAGGATGAAATTTATTTTTCAATCAGACCATGGACGAAATTAGAGGCAAGACAAGTTTTATTGCCAGCGTTGAAGAGAATGAGATTTGCACTGCTCAGGAACTTGTGAAACTGTTACGAGAATATGGTTGGTATCTCCGTAAATTTGTGTTTTATTATGCACCCCTTATATGTCCCATTGATAGGTTTTTACTAGAATTAGATATAGTGTCATTTCAATCCAATGCATTTCCCATCCCGGAATTTGCCATACTTTCCGGGCTACTGCGCAGAGTCCAAAAAGACCTTGGAAAATTCCATGTGAGAGTTGTTTATGTGCGCGAGGGTTTTTGAAAAGGAAAGGTAATAATTTATTTCTGAATGCAGATTTCTGATTTGTATCACGTAGACATGCACAGTAGTTGATTGGAAGCGTTTGATTTGGCTAAGCGTTTTTGGAGCACATTTATTTGAGGGATTGTTGTTCGCATGTATAAATTCGAACAGCAGTGAAAGAGTGTATTTTTTACGAACGAGTCGACCATTTCTCAACAAATGCTATTTCCCGATAACCTATGGAAGGACGTACTAGAAATCATAATTACTTTCATAGATTATATTTAAAAATATAGAAATTTTTTCGCAAAAATACAAACCATGTTATGTTTCTGTTATCTGCTAAATATGTACCCTAGCATATATTGCTATATAAGTCGTCATACCAAGTCACATACCATATGTAGACGCACATTTTAACTGTCCTCTAGTTCTCAAACATAACGGGTATGGCTGTTTAATAATTCTAGATCAATCGAAGTGCTTTGAAACATCTCAAATTGTTTTACAAGGAAAGGCATTCGAATTAATTGATATGTTAGGTTGGATAAAATTTGGCTATCTTGCCAGTGATAGGAATTGTAGCTCTCCTGGTGGACATTGGAAATCTTACTTTTTGCGTCTTTGTGAAAAATAATTATGATAAATTAACAAAAATAACTCCAATTCTGGCCTATTACATTTCAGTAAAATGTTAAAAAATGCTTGAAAATTACGCTATTGTTCCTTTTGCCACATACGGTGCTTGGAAAAAGTTTCTCCATAGCACCCCATTTCCACCTTCAAACGGTGTTGTATTGTGTGATCAATGAGCTTAGGCGAGTCCATTGCAATGCAGTTTGTTGTCCCTTTTTAGGAGCTTTGGTTGAGGTGAATCGCGAGAGACCGAAGTGCTCAACAATTATTCTGATCGACGTTGATTTCATCCTTAATCGAAAATTATCTTCGGATGTCTTTGTTTGGCTTGGAAAACGTGGAACAGAAGAACCCTTCTATCTAAGCAATGGCATTGGAGTGAACAGTCAGCTTTACTATTTGCAAAATGACGTCATCGTACTTGCATATGCAACAAAGACAAGGTAAATAACCCTTACAGTATAAAACAACAGTATGTTAGGTTTCCGCTTTTCCTTGCTAGTTGGAGAGTCAAGGTGGTATTAATTGTTGGAAATATCATTTATTTTTTGTCATTAACTGTCTTGCTTAAAGTAAAGGCGATTCCTGTATGCGAGCCGTGCCCATGAGCCAAAGCATGGAGACAAAGGATGGCCAGTTCCTTCAATGCAGACTTCATCACCCCACCCCCCCAAAATGCAGATACTGTCCTATTCTCGTTTTCTTCAGCTTCCCCGTCGTTGTTAGTCCTTCCCTAAATAAAGGATAGAGCCCAACCTTCAGCCTTCAGAACTGCAGCAAAATTGCCTTACCGCGGTCGATAGCCTGAGCTACTAAGGGACATATATTTTGAAGACGGTACAGCTGATGATATTTACAGCTGCTAACAAATCTATAAGGCTGATAGAGCGCTATCCACGAGAGCTAGAAAGAAGACATAAGTTCCATGATACAAAAATTCGCTTTATTAAATCGTACTTCTATCCAACCTTTAACATCACGCGACTAAGAGATGTGGGATCGACATAATTCAGATTTGTACATCTGAAGTCGATTGCTTCAGATCCAGTTTGCCAAAGCAAGGATATTTCAACCCTTTCATACTATGCATGAGTTTCTTGGTCTCAGTTCAAAATGAACACTTTGAATTTACTCAGATTTTATGGGGACGTTGTGTGTATCAAAACTACTTGTAAAGCAACCATCTTTATATTTTTCAGTATTGATTTTTTATCAGTGTTTCTTGCCTATTTGCAGCCTTTTTTCCAGCCATTTGCAGCCAAGATTTTAAGACTCTATATTTACTTGTTTTAAGTGCTCACTTTTTTCAGCATGGACCGATTTGGGCAAGGAATTCATAGATTTTTCAAGTTAATTGATCTCCCACCAACTATGCCTGTTCTTCTGCAACGTTGGCTCCGACAAAAGGCAACACGAAATTCAGAAAGCCGATTAAACTTCAGGTGAATATCTTTGTAGTTTATTTTTTGCATTTACGGGAGTGTTATGGCAGCGAGATTTTTAATAGCCGGGTTATTGGCTCTCTCACTTCTACAAGCTACTTTTTCTAAGTTAGTGTTTAATTTTCTATGGGACTGCTTTTCATTGTGTGTGAACAGGTGCTTTCATAATTTCAATCTGGCAGAGTCTTCAGATTTTCATTTTTCTTTTTTGTGCCATCTTCCGAATGCCCTCTTCACCTGGCACATGACTAATGCGAAATGTAGCACAATTATGAAATGTGAAATGTGAACAATTAGATTTATACCTTTAATGTCAATCTTAATTTAGATCCCTTTCTTACAATCCAATCACACTCCCATATGACGTTAATTGTCAAGTCACTCATAGTTTCAGAAACGTTTTAAGCTTTTCCCAGTTCACAATCTCTGAATATTGCTTGATCCGTTTTTAGGGAAATTGATAACTGGAGCTCCTGGATAAGCGATGTTTACAGAAGATCTAGAATCGATCTTGAAAAGCTAGACATTAAATTGGATATGCCAGATTGTCGTTATTGTAAATCATGTTCATTTTGTTTTCAAAATTTGAAGTTCATTTTTTGTAGATGCCAAAGGTCAAACCATTCAATTTTGTATCTTTATTTCGTAATTCGCTTTCATCGTATATATTAGGCTCAATGTCACCTGGTGCTGCCATAAAATGCTCAAACAGTTGTTTTGATAATGTCACCAAAACCAAATAAAGTCACACTCAAACTTCTCAGTTTCTTCAGTGCCATTTTGGTTTTTACTGAAAAATATACCAAAAAAAATTCAAAGCTAACTAGTTGCAGGTACCAAAGCGACGATTTCCAGCTTGCCTTGAGGAATTGAGAGTATGTAAGAATGTGCCTTCTGATCAGATCACTTAGTTTATAGTCTCTTTAATTTTTGCTAGTTGATTTTCAATTGTTCTGTAATTTGGATGCAAACATGAATCGATTCGAAAAGCACTTTGTATTGTTACACACAAAGCCATCATTTTATGGACAGTCAAGCCAATCTGACTGCAATGTGTTTCATAAATATCTGTTAGTTCATTGGTCGTTTGTGTCAAGACAGGATCTAAGCATTTAGAAAACGATTAACAGACCTGCATATTACTCAATGTCATTGTTTCTTTCGCAGATCTTGGGCTGTTTCTGTCTGCTCCTATCAGTGATTCAGCCGGCCTTAAAAGGTAATGATTTTATGTTTCATGTCACATACTTTCGTAATATTATACGTTGATTCTATTGATGCGGATGAAATGAAGACTTAAGACAACATTCACAATCTTTCTGGAGTTGTTGGTTCCCTTTCGAAGAAGGCGGCTTAGTCGCGTGCTTTCTGTAGAAATGTGCTGGGAAATCGCTTTATCGTCATGAAATTGTACTAAAAGCAAAAAGGTGTCATCATAAGAGCCTAGGCCTAAGCAAAAGTTCCTATGGTCCATAGGCTCTATGTTTCGTGCGCCTTAGATAATACTGCGCCTCTGCTTGTCCTTGTGTCTAATACGGCCTTAATGTCATATTTGGTAAGTTGCATTCCGTCTTCTTTCTCCCCTTCCTCGTTTGAAAATAGAAACCCTGCACTAATTTTACATAAGGTATCCTTTTCTTTGCAGCTGGGCTGAAGACCTTTGGTTGCATCACTTTCTGCCACAAGTCGAGAGTTCTGTGGAGGAGCAGGTTGCCGAGGCAACCAATACTCAGCAGGACTTATTGATCCAAGTCGCTCTGAACGCATTCTTAGAAGGAGCTTTTTTGCCGGGCTGCCCATGCAAATTAGATATCGGTTAAGTTAGGACTAAATTTTTAGATATTTTAATCGACTCTGCTAGACCTAATGCTGTCTGACCAGGAGGAATGTACTCATATTCCAGAGATTTTGTCGGTGGTCGAAACAGGGAGATTTGATGCTTTCATCAAAAGGAGGGACTTGAAAATTTTATAGAAGAAATGACCTGTTGTTCTCTGATTTCCCTGGTGCAAATCAAGTCCTGTTTCGGATGCCAACACTATGTTACCTAGCAGTCCAGCCATATGATACTCTGGGTACCAGAGCTTCAATAAACCGGGGATAAAGTATTGTAGACCGCTTCGGTGGCAAAGAAGGAAGCTCAAATAATTATTTCTGGAACTAATTTCGAACTACAGTTTTCTCTCCAATTAACGGACACTCTAAAAGGCGGACACCTCTGATTAGCGGAAAAAAAAATTTTCCCGATCATTTTCTGGTTAAAGTCTCATAAAAAACTTTCTAAAAAGCGGACACTTAATTAGCGGACACTCCAATCAACGGATAATATTGTTTGCACAAAATAGTGAATTTGGCTTTTTTCTTTCCAATTAGCAGACAGTACAAAACATTTAGGAGCCAGCGAACAAAAAAATAAGACAAATGAATATTTTTTCAAGTATTCCGACAGAGGGCTTGGAGCTTCCGACAGGGGGGCTAAAATGACTAAAATATGCAGTTTTCGTACGTTATTTTGTCAAATTTGCTCCAAAAATAACCTAAAATTGTCTTCGATGGGGGGGGCTAAGTGCTTCCAACGGAGGGGCTATAGCCCCTCTAGCCCTCCCTTGGCGCCGCCACTGATTACACCTTTTAAATACAAAACAAGGGTCTATTTCAACTTTGAAACTTATATTGCAAAACTTTCCAAAAGGCGGACATTTCCAATTAGCGGACAACTTGCTCTGGTCCCGACAGTGTCCTCTAAATAGAGAGAATACTGTATATTTCTGCGGCTAAATAATGGAGACTCTGTCGCCCAGGGTAGCCATATGACTGTCTACTGACAAAAATCTCTTCATATCCCCCTTCAACCCTTCTTAAGATTTATTGAATTACTTATCTTCAGTTTCATTTTAAGCACTTGCTATAAACTGCCGACTGAATCAAATAAAGTTTTATCTTACTGTTCTTATATACAAATTCACTTTTTCTAAAACGAAATGTTTAGTCAAAGTTACGTTGCAATTAGTTCTTGCAGTTAACAGCGTCAAAAGATGTGTAAATGAAAGAACCCTTGTTGTAAAATAGTGCTGTACCAGAGCATGCTACGTTTCTAGTTGATAAGTATGGAAAAACCACTGCCCCAGTTTTCAACTCTTTATTATTCAAATCTATTTGACACTTAAGGTGGTGGAAAGGGACACTGTGACTCCTGACAAACTCTAAAAGAACATATTGTACTTAACACAGAACGGCAATTGTTGTACTTAACGACGTCGGAGAATTTTCATTCCACCTCCTGTCGCACCCCTTTCCGCCCTGTTCACCATTCTATCGACCCGAATCATGTTTGCTAGTTTGGTACATATTTCAACAGTTTTTTTGCCACTGTTATCTTGCCTTAAAGCAGAAAAATAATAGGTGTTACTACCAACATTATAAATTTTATTCCCGTCCTTTCAATAACTTTGTAACACACTCAGAGAGATCAGCTACTTGGTTTGAAACTGGTGTGTTTACTGTCTTATGTGTTAACTATTTAAAAACTTGGTACCCTATTCAGGCGCTGTTCACTTAATCCGAACGATACTTACAGACATGGTAAAGGGGACGAAGATGCAACCCCTTTGATAGGAGGGTGAAAGTACCCTTGTCATTTGTCTTCGCAATTATCAAGAACATATATATGAGTTTCCAACTTTAGTAATTTTTTCAAAAACTTCTTCTTTTGACGACAACATTTCTCATCATGCGTGATTATTTTGTATCTGCTAGAAGTGAACCGTTCATACGCTTATCGGAATGGAAATATCATTTACATAGCAGTAGAAGCTGCAAATCACTGTTGCAAATTTTTTCCTTATCATGAAGCTAATAGCCATGCCCCTGGACCGTGCCGGTGTCTTCAACGACTCTAGACCTCAAAGATATTCATAAAGAAATACCTAAATAGATTTTCAATGTAAAGTGAGAAACATATTACTTTATCCTCGGTGAGTATTTATAATAAACAAATTTATAACAGTTTAGGTATTGTGATGTACATGGTAAAAATTTGCCTTATCGATTTCATCCAGAAATCCTGTCGTTTTTTGACTCTCTCTTTCTCTTCTGTCGAAAACAAAAAGAAAGTTCTTATGTTGATGCACAAGGTAAGGTAAGAGCTGAGACATACTTGTAAAGCTTTTCACTGCATCGACCAGTTTCTTAATTCTCGAATACCGAGAAAAGGGACCTTATTTCGACAAGTATTTTGACAAGAAGCTCAAGGGTAAAGGAAAGCGAAAGAATGAAAATTAATCAAAATGATAGGTCCGTGATTAACAGGGGAAGGGGGTCATGCCCATCAGTCTACATTACCATTCTTTGTCTCCCCCACCTTCAAACATCACTTTGCCATGCCACATCATTCTAAAGTACCAGGCACCGCGGAGCGTTGAGAAAAGTGGGGTGGTCTCAAGAAAGTGGGGGGGGGGTGGCTAAAACCGTATAAAAAGTGGCTTTTCTGGCAGTTTGATTCTTAATATTTGGCATTTTTATTATTTGGCATCTTAATATTTGGCTAAAGCCCCCCCCAGCCCTCCCTGCTCCGCGGTGCCCGAGTACCTCAGTGAAGTGAGAAGTCATGCGAGTAGGGTCGATGAGAACGGTCTTGCTTTTAGTACAATATGTTTTGCATTTTACGGGCTACGTTATGAATTGAATTGAAGATGTTCGAAAACAGAACCAAGGTGCACATACTGTGTGTTTATCAAGTTTCAGTAAGCTTTTGCGTTTTCAGTATTGCGTTAACAAGTTAAATCGTCTGGCACGTGGCGAAGTAGGCCCACCACACCTTGAATTCCTGATGCCATTTAAACCTGCAAGTCAAGCTCCTGTCATGATGGGAATACAATCAGGAAGGTTATTAATGATGCTGTTGCAAACCCTCTCTGGAAAGACAACATAAATGACAAGCAGGAGAATTGATGTTGCAATGGAGCCTCTGTAGCAAGAATTATCGGCGCCGAGATAGAGTTGTTGGCCATTCCCTGATTATGAAACTTGCATCGTGGAAGTACTTCATTGCTGTATTTAAGGGTAAGAAAAAGTTGGTAATTCAGAAAATTATTTTGAATATGACTCCAAGAAAATCAAAGTTTTTCAACGGTCCGAGTGAAAGTGGAAGACAACCTCAACGTCGATTATCCGTTTAAATAAGATGAATGAGCATAAAAATATATGTAGGGGAGTCAAACTCTTTAACTGCGAAGAATGAAATGGGAACTCATTGTGTTTGGCTGCGCTAATGACTATTTTCTCCAGGTATTTTGCCGTTCTCGTGCCAGTTTTTGTGTTGTTTTGAGTTTGTCTTGAACTTGGTGAACAGGGTACTCTTTCTTTCTCTCGACTGGACTCTCTAGAGAAGTCGAAGGTTCACGCCCGAATTTGCAAAAGTTCACGCCCGAATTCGCAAAAGGTGACGCCGCAATTCTCATTGTGATCAAAATTGAATACATATTTGTTTTCACGCAAAGGGGATTAGATGTTGAATGCATGATTTTGTAGCAAAAATGATAGATTTACATACAAATCCAACATTGCTTCGGGGGAAAGTGAGGGATTCGAATTTAGAAGGGCAAGGTGGCGTTAACTCAGTTCAGTTCATTTCATTTTTAAAAATCCATACATACAAATCTTTTAAAATACAGCAACAGGTTACAAGAAATGAAATGAATTATATCTAATGAGAGAAATAGAGAACAAAAAAAATATATATGATTTTATAAAAACGAAGGAGATTTGCATTCAGAAATTTCTTAAAGGAGGAGCTCTCTCAATAGATAGACTAATCGAGGAGAGAGCACGTCCTGTGGTAAAAATAGTAAGGTAGTAAGGTAAAGTAAGGTAAAGTAGAGAAATGCAAAAATTGCATCTCGTCTCAATATTTTTGTCCGGGATCGTAGTTTCAGTTTCAAGATATTCGCTTCACTTGCAGTAGAAAACACATACAGTGATCGTAATATTGGGCTCCTAGATCTTCAATAGTATTTCAGTGCACATTTTCCTACCTTTTTCTCTCTAATCAAAGCACAAGATTCAGTTTACACTTACGAATTTAAGTGTCAGCGGGCCCATGCTCGAATGTATCATCCAAGAAGTTTATCGGACCAAATTGGTCAAACTGTATAAGACCTTGTACCCTTGGTACCAAGTATATAACTATATATACCATCAAGATATAATAAGAGAACTCTCAGGTAGCATTGAAGGAACGGACAGAGTTGGGCGTTGCTATGGAAGGGGTTGGTTCGAGGAATTTGGAGAAGAGGAGACGTGGGGTCCCTGAATAATATACGAGCGAGGAGGGTCGGGCTTTGTTATAGAAGAGAAGGGTCGAATGGGATGACTAGCTTTCTTCAATAAGGTTGGACTATGGAAACTTTTTATGATTTGTTTTTGCAAAAGAAAGTACCAACTTTACAAAGCTTCTTAATCTTTCTTGATGTTTATATTTCTTGTAACGCTTTGCTCAACTTCTTGTGCTTTAAAGTCTATTCAAAAACTTTGCAAGAGCGAAAACAATGTAGTATTATTATAATAACAAGTTCATAAATATTGCCTGGAATCTTCCTTGATTCATCAAGCCTGGTTTCCATATAGCCTTAATGCTGCCTGCGACTGCTTTCTGCCATCTTCCATCACTACGGTATCGCCGGCAGATAATTCTTTATGGAAACGCTTTCTAACGGTACCGCAGGCAGCTGTTTGAAGTGCCGTAAGACTGCCGGGAGAGCCGGGAAAAGGTTGAACGAGTTCAACTTTTCCCGGCTCTTACGGTAGCCTCCCGGTACCGCCGGCAGACAAATTACAAATGGAAACGCCTTGCCTGCGGCTGCCTGTGGCATTTTTTTGTTCAAACGGATCATGTGATGTGCAAGAACCAATTGAAACAGGGCTTTGTTGTTGAATTTTGCCCGCCAGTTTTTCCCGCTCAAACTTTACCTAGTTACTGGCATAGTTACCGATACCGCAGGCAATTGAAAACAGAACGTTTCTATTTGCCGGCGCTACTGTCAGGGTGGAAGATGGAAGATGGCAGAAAGCAGTCGCAGGCAGTCGCAGGCAGCCTTAAGGCTATATGGAAACCAGGCTTCATTCAATCGACGTTCGAAATAAATGTTGTTAATATAAAATGTAGATTCATTTTCCGGTCATCTCAGAATGTCAAATTTTCAAAATTTTTCTTGCTGTCAACAATGGTGGTGGCCTTAACCAAAGCTTTAATGATGTTACTTTTTGCAACTTCCAACCCACTGTAAACTCTCCACACCCTAAATTGTGATGTCCCCGATCACTGTTCTTAGGCTGTTAAGTGATAAGTGATTCTAATTTATGGCCGCCTTCAAACTGAAGTAATTCACATCTTTAGCGAAAATTGCCTGTAAATGTCCTTTGTTGCACACACTCACTTTTTTTAATAAGAAACAGGCTATAAGAAGAGGTAGGCTCAATGTTTTCGAAAGTTAAGGAACAACCCTACCCAAATTGAAAAAAGGTAAGAAACTTTTATAAGTTGCAGTTTTAATTTTCCAAATTGACAATCGAAACAGTCTTGACATTAAACATCACTGTATATTGCAACACTATACTTGACATGCATTTTGCATTAATTCGCAGTAAATTACACACTCAAGAAGTATCCGTTCAAAATTTGTTTTGACTTCAACTTGACATTGTTGAAGTTCGATGAGCTTTTCGATGAGCTTGACTGTTTACAGATCTCAACAGAGTTTGTCATTCTAGGAAAACAAATTTCCTTGATCACTTTGTTAGTTTATCTCTGAATGTGAGTGAAATATTTACTCTACCTTAGGAGCACGTTTAAAAAATTCATTACCTAAAAAATTTAAGAAACATGTGAGAAACTATTGATAGCAAAATGGCTGGAAAATTTAAGAAAGTGCCTACCAGCACCGGACCTTAGTTTCTTATAAAAAAAATACATGTAATGAAATTTAGATGCATTCTTACAATCAATGTCTTACTATACCGCAGCACTCCAATTGTAAATATAACCAAATGCGAAATAAGGAAACTTTTTAGACCCCTAAAGGTTGATTTCCCGGTAAGGAATACCATTCCAGTCCTATATAGCATTTTGGGCTTGCCTTTTCCATTTCACAAATGACAATTTGCTTAACAATTCTCCTCATGGGTGTTTCTGGCTAAAAATGGTAAAGAACTGTTTTATCACGCCTTAGCTAGGTAAGTAGAATATTGTATACTAAAGGTCCAAAGAAAGTCCATTCTTCTAGCATCAAAATCTGTCAAATCCTTGACAAGCAATTTCGATATCTAGTCTTTTCAAGAATGTCCGATTCTACTGACATCAGCATTAGGCCTTGTAGCCTCTCTTGTCACTGAGTGGATGCCCTGCCAGTAGTGGATGCCCTCTCAGCACTGAATGATGTCAAGGTAACGAGTGCGCAATTTTCATCAACCTATTCGTTTTCTATTACACGCCATGTCATGCCGGTAATTTCTCTAAAGCACGCCATTAAATCTGAAAATTTCTGATTATAAATGTACGGCACGATCTCGTACAACTGGATACTAGAGTTACCTCCTCAACAGCATGTCTAAAGTCATCTGCTCTGCTACACTCATTTTTTTAAAAAGAAACAAAGGTCGATGTTGAGTACTCCAGTTTCTTAATGTTCTGGAAATTTCTATAATCATTGTTTCTTAGGAATTTTTTATTATGATGCCATGAATGATGTTATGAAATGTTCCTGACCTTTTCTCTCACGTCAAGAGATTCGCTGCCGTTTCGATGCTTTATTTAGTGTGGGAGGTATATTTTTATCCCTTGTGTCTTAAGTTCTAGGCCAACAGGGCAATCAACCTTGGATTTCACAAAATTTCGTTGTTCTCAGTTTTTTCACGATTTAATAGTTTCTTAATTTTTTTGCTTCGAGTATTTAAGTTTCTTAACTTTTCCTGACTGCCCAGTACTCGTTTCTTATTGCCAGTTTCTTATAAAAAATTAGGGTAGCGAGGTAAATGAAGAACATCAAGTATCATAATACAATTTTGT